AAAATAACGCGCTATAGCGCGAACCCGCGACGCAACCGCTCACACGTAAGGCTTGTCTGATTATGTTGTTTAAGTTCTTCTTGACACGACAGATTCTCTCAAGAGGACAAATCATTATAGAAATAGGAACTTTTTTGGCGCTTTCGAAGAGAAGCCCGGGAAATTTTTTAACGAACTACAGCCCAATTACAGTTATCCCGATGTCTTTTGTTACGGTGGCTATCAACTGTGGTCTACTGTATACCCAGCGGACTAACGCTAACCACCTACTGTGTGGTCCGCCTAGACCCTCCTTGACCTACACACACACTCACCTACACTTTGGGCGGGAGACCCTCCTATATAACAAGCCCCTCTTGGCACTACTAGTAGTTCCCTCCTTCTATACTGTTACCAGGTTACATTCTCATCATGGAATTGGCTATTCGTCTATTGTTCTAATAAACCTTCGACTTCATTACCTCTCGTTCAATCATACAAGGAAACTGTCTCACGTGAAAAGATGGAGCGATACGCCACTCGGGGGCCAAGCCAACTTGTAGCAAGAAGTAAGGGGTGCTACCACGAAACAGAGCGAACTCCAACTGATTTGACAGTCGTAATCTTCAGTCGAGCAGTGCTTTAAACTCCGGTGTTATAAGGCGTAACTTCAAAATTGTATCTTGTAGGAAGGAAGCCGAGTGATAGTGATAGATCGAGCTCCGACATATACTCGAGACCCTGATCAAGTGAGAAAGCTTGTCGAATCCGGTGGTATATGCCGTGACTTCGACAATGCACCAAGCTGAATGAAGTCGATTTATAGATCAAAATCGAAATCCGATTTACGGTCGTGACCTTCTATTGGGTTGGGAAAATCCGGTTGAACTCAGGTAATATACGTTGTGAATTCGACACATGTCTGGTAAATTGTAATCGATTGTCAGGTGGCACGGGAGCGAAATCTGACTAAGTCGTCAAGTTGTAACTCTAGATCGAGGAGAGGTTGGTGTCGAACTCCGGTCATGTGAGCCATGACCTCAACATAGAAGCGATTGATAGTATCCAAACATATTTCAGCTAGCCCTGATTTTCTCACTTGTAAGTCTTATCATCTTTCCTTTTATCCACATTTCTTTCATCGTCGAGCTCCTTTTTTTCATTGATCGAGTTTTCCGATACATTGAGATTGCAAATTGTTCCGTCGAGAATCATGCCGTTACAGAGGCTGAACCCTGCTAATAAATTTATTTCCAGAGTGAGCATGGCGCATTTGAACGAGGAAAAGCTCCCTCGATTCCCTGTCGAGGATGAAGAGATGCTGGATGAACATTTACGTGACATTTTCTTGAAAAACTTCAACACATCAAATGAGCTACTAAGCCATGTGACTGCTATCGGTGTCACAAGTGATAATGAGCTCGCAAGGTCAATGCGCACCGGTGATCCTAGAAGGGAAAATGTTGTAGCTTCAGTAAGCGAGCGAGTTGCGTTGGTAAAAGAAATTGCGAAGGCAACAGTAAGCGAGCTGAGTAGGCTTGATGTAGTAGAACGCGTATTCAAACTTTCAAGGAAGGCAAAATCACCATTGCGAGCCAGCTGCAGGAGCACATGAGTAGATGTGCAGCAGAGTTCTAATGTAAAGAAAGAGGTGTGCTGAAAACTGTCACGAGGCCGCCCACGAAAAAGGATAATGCTCTGCCACTAGCCGCTAAGGCTTCGCAGTTAGACTGCATTCAGCGACTCAACGAGGTCGCCTTTTAGTAAGTTACCTTTTTGTCCAGTGACGTTATTGAAACCGATTTGCGTCAGCGCCCAGTAGTTATATATGGCAGGCCTGAGCCAGCTAGGGATATTTCAGCTTCCTGCACCTAACGCATACTGAATCCTACGTTGGTGGTATTTTGGATAACCACAGGATGGATAAGGTAGTCGAAGGGAAACTCCGGCTCGTGAAGCGCGTATTCTCATTACGGCGTACTTTTCTTGAGATCTTGTCAAAAGCTAGGAACTTACGTTTTAACCCTACTACAGGACTACAGGATTGTCTGTATTAGAAAATCGATTACTCGATATGAAATGAAAAGGACAAGAAACTACGCAAGCAGTCGCGTGTTCTGAACGAAAATCAGTTTAACGGTAAGCGCATTTACAAAGTCTGCAGAGGAGCCATCACTAAAATTTCGAATATAGCCTCGATCAAACAGGCGATTCTCCACCCAACCTGGGGTTTCCAATGGGCAGGCCCCAACTTCTTACTAATCGCTTTATGTTCAATGTTGTATGCGAGAGGGAGCAAATTTTCTGATGCTGAGCTTTGCGCGCAACTGCCGTACAGTGTGATTCGAAAGGATAGGTTGTCCAGAAGAGGAGGAGGCATGTGCTCTTTCGGTCTCGATTTTTCGCTATTTCAAAGAGTTTCTTTCGACTGTAAAAGATTGTCCGCTGATCCCATTTGTTTGAAATTATGCTGCAACCGGCCGTAGCCATCGTTTCTTGTTGATCTACCTCCCGCCTAGTTCTACTAGCGGTTAAGATGATCTTCTATTGTACTTGCCAATCTGGTCTCAGCGGCACCGATGTTTGGAGACCTCAACTTCAGCATCCAGGCGGACCAGCAAGATGGTACTGCACCCGTGACACGCGCGTTTTTCTCGGTGTTTGGGTCCCTATCTGTGTTGCAGCATGACTTTTGACCGGTGGGAGTGAAACACTTGGCCTTATCTTGCCCCCAGTGGATAGCATTGCTAGCGTCTACTTCATACCTCCTCTCCACTTCTCGGATCACACAACTATTTGCTTCACTATGCTTGAAATTACTGGGGAAGTCCCCCAGCTTTTGTCGCGGATTTTAAGCCCTCAGATAATAAAGCTTTCGCGTACGCTCTATCTCACTCAAATTGGTTTATGATTTCTGACAGCTATGATAATGAGGATGATCGTTTCTATGGTATGTCCCTTGAAGAAGAACTAGTGTCTGCATGTCAGCATATCCAATTCACATGCGTAATTCATTTCAACAGCGATAAAGGCTATTCTTTCAGTTGAAAGATCTAGCTAGTTATGTATTATAACTTATAAGGAGATCAGTAAAAAAGCTAAACATTTACTTGAAGCGCTTTCTTGCGTTCAAAGTGAAGGAAACAGGTTATGCTGGAAACTTGAACATTTCTATGCTATGTAGAAACATTTGTTAACCATATATCAGTGAAGCTTCTGCTTAAAGGAGCGATTGGTGTTGGGCATAAATGCATCACACTGAATGAGAAAGGGGAGGACTTAGCAGATTATTTTGGAAGCGTTTTTGTGACACCTTCCATAAAGCAAGTAGCTGCGAGATTGATTGGCGACGGTTTTGTTGGCGACGGACCGTTCGAGCTATCGAGTGTCACTCCGAGAACGGTTTTCGAACATCTTCATTCATTTAAGCCTTTATTCTCTATTACACCTTAACCCATTGACGACCGCGTCCCGTATACGGGCCACGCTCTGCCATGCTCCTTCTCCTGGGACTGCGTGGGCCGTATACGGGCCACAGTATTATTTTGTATGTATAACTTTCATTTTCAATTTTTTTACCCTTTCAAGTGTCGAGCAGGTTTATGACCCACTATAAAATCTTGACGCGCAGTGGTCCGTCAAACGTTTACTTCTGGCTTCAGTAATAGGAGAAAACAAAGTCACTTCTGAGTTCATTGGTAAAGGAGGAAAACCAAAGGCTGTAAAAAAGTTGTAAAAAGGTGCAAAAAGGATGTAAAGGGACTTTGCTGGGCATCCGATGATTAGAAACACGCCATTCTCATCTTATCTGTATCCTCGTGTTCAGACAGAGTAGCGTTTGGAAATGATTTGGTGAAAACTCTCACCTCCCTTCGAACAATCAGAAACAACGTTAGATGCCATAACGTAGTTCTAAATGGTGTGTATGACTTGTAACCTTTAGATGCCACATTTAAAAAAAACTTTTTTGTCGGCTGGAAATGCTTACGAAGAAATTTACTTGTTCCTAAGACCGTGTGGCCCGCCAGTGGGCCACAGCAGCAGCCCGCGAAAAGCGCGCTCGGTCCCACACGCCAGACACGCTAAAATGGCGAGGTCGCCAATGGGTTAAGTATGTAACTTCCCCACATCTTTTTTAAGCCGTGTGCAAAAAAACTGGCTACCCCTCTGACTCATGTTTTTAACTTCTCCTTGATGTTAGGCGAAATTCCTTGAATTATATCCGGGATGGTGTTATAGTAACACGTATTCCTAAAACCCGTGAGACTAGCCATGTGCCCTGTTTCCGATCCATAATCACACTTGCCTTTCCGTCCAAAGTCGTGGAAAAGATTCGACACAAATACTTGTCATACTGGGTAGTGAAACAGAAGCTATTCCTCAGGAACAGTTCGGCCTCCTACCTGGAACGTTCACCTGTATTCAACTGATGAACTTCACTCACACATGGACAGTAGCAAAATAGTGATGAATCTATTTCAATCTAACAAAAGCCTTTGATACTGTATTTAGGAGCATCCTCTTACTCGAGCTAGGATATTGAGGGTTCGAAGAAATTCTTTGCGGCGGTTCGAGTCAAATCTAGCTGACTGGAAAATGAATGCGTACTTTATTAATTACACCTCCAAAGTAAAGAGCAGTCCATCAGAAATAACAGGCATATGAGAAGGAACGCGAGGGGGCTCAGACTGTTAAATCGTGCTTTTAAAAACATGGTTCGTTGGTGTAATCTTTGGGAATTAAAAGGTCAATCCCACAAAGACCCACTTGCTTTCTTCGAAACCCTCCACACTAGAGGTGCACTTTCCTGATAGTCCAGTTATTGAGCGGTTATCAACAGTTAGAGATTTAGATGTCAGTCGTGCTGAAGATTTGAAATTGTCCCATCATATCGAACTGATATTTAGCAAGGCTATCGAGGTATTTCATATGTTGTTCATAGATGTCTTTAATTCCGATGTGGATTTATTAAGCACTACAAAACATATGTTCGCCCAGTAGTTGAATATTCCAACCCTGTCTAGGCCCGTCCTTCTTCAAAGTTATTCGAAAGCTTGAGAATGTTCAAAAAATTTCACAACTATGTTGTTCAATAGCGCTTTCCCTAATGATGACTACCCGCAAGCCCTACCGATCTAGACTCAATAAACTGAATCTCACATTGTTTTAGAGAAGCGTCGAGTTAGAATTAGTTCTGGCCTTCAAGATTATCAGGTGCGAGCTACGGGTAAAGTTTTCTAGACACTGGATGTTCCGACCAACCAACGGACGAAGAGGCGCATTCCAGATTCAGAACGACAAAATGGGCAGATGACATCAATATTTATGAGAAACCATGTTCTTCTCTGAAATTGCTGCTTTGCACTTGCTCAGGTCCACAGTGGCTTCGTTCCTGATCTAGATGTTGAGTTCCTTTATTTTCTTTTTACATACCTCTTTCGTGTTGTTTAGATTAATGTTCCACCTTACGTGTCGCCAGCTCTACCGTGTAGGACATCTCTCTCTGTTGTCGAAGTGCTCCGCTAGACATAAATAAATAAATAAATAAATAAAATGAGCTTTGGCAGCCACTTATCAAGAAGGGTTTACAGATTGAGCAACTGCTTCAATATGGTGGGCGGGCAATAAAAGGCGATGGCTCTCGTGGGGAGTCGGTATTCGTGTAAGCTAACTTGTGAGAGAGCTGCTGTGAATGGTTATACGGTGTCACAAGGTTGTAGAAAATCTCGCACTATCACGCAGCGTGCTACGCCTCGAAATAAATTACCACTACGTCTTCCCTTCACCTCNGCGCAATTAGTGAATATTCCTAATAACAATATGAAGCAGCTATTAGTTCGAAATAGGCTCTACGACAAGCAGTGCATAACAAGTGATTGCATCATATGTCCCTACGGAAAAGCAGGTGATTGCGCACTGAGAAGCGTGATCTACCAAATGGAATGCCGGGCATGTGGATCAACATGCATCGGAGAAACGGGAAGGCAACTAACTACACGAATAAAAGAACAACTAGCTAGTATGAGGCGTGGCAGCCTGATAACGGCCCTTGGTAGGCATAAAATTGAGGAGCATAACGGCGACAACTCCGAAGTTAAGTGCACGATATTAGCGCAGGGGACGGAGATTTTAGCGAGACAGGCATTGGAGGCGTTCTGAATTTTCCAAAGGAATTTTAAAATGAACGGTAGAGATGAGTGCCCGTCCATAAAGAACGATCTTTTGCCATATATACCGCACTGCGATTTGTGACTCAGTAGCATTACAACGTGATCTTCCTTACCACAAGTATAAGGGAGACAAGGGAGACAACCAGTAAGTCTCATTCGCTACTGACAGCCGCTTGTGGGGACAGCGGATGGTATATCCGCTTAAGCGGGTGGAACCTGGGTGAGTTATGCTTCAAATATGGGTTTCGAATGCGTCGTAACATTCGCCAGAGGGTAGTGCGTTTTTGGATACTGTGCAAATAGTCACGAGTTGCTTTAGGCCTGTGATGAAGGCGAAAATGTCGAAACGTTAGGCCGTTAACTAATAAATTGTTCCACCTGACAACCTCGCACGGCACAAGAATATCGCAATCATAAACAACTATGCCGAGGTTAAAGCAAGAGA